GTCATAATATTGTTGCATAGTGACTATACTTTATCTGTTGCCATCTAATATGCAGTCTCTCTCATTCACAGACACACTTTGTCTTGGCCATGAATGATAGCCATTTTTCACTTTATGGTGCGTTGCGGTCTGGTATGTCTGTATGTAAACTGTCTACCTGGAATAAATATAATTGAGGAGAGTTCTGACATCTGGACCAAAAGGCAGGGCACTGAGAGAAGCTACAGTATCGTAAACTAATAAGGATTTAGCAATCAAATCGAGGTTAGTAGTGCTATTTGGACATGTAACTGCTCAACTCAAAGACAGTAAGTCATATCACTGGTTTCTGATTGGTGGTTTTGTCACATGATTCTGGTCAGTAGTCGTATGACTTGATATCCGACCCATTGTAACTTAACAGACAGAATTCAATCAATATTCAAAGGATTAGAAAAACATTATATAAGTCACCATTCAGTTATCGATCCATTGTAAATGTATACTAAGAATATCAGTTGCAAAGTGAATGGTCGTATTACATTTAATAAGAAAATGTGGTTCTTATATAGAATAAAAACTACTAATAATTATAAAACAGTAGTTGGTTTAGTTGCAATGAATTAATTGTGTAACTGAGTTTCGTCCGACCATTCAAAAATCGCACACTGTCAATATATAGCTTCACAAAAGTGAAAAGACAATTGAATATAGATTAATTTAAACACTTGAAAATTGACATTTGGTGTGAATAAAACTCTACCCGTATGAATCTATTTTGTATTGATATTTGATTAGACATGGCTAGCTCTTAACAATTTAGTATCCAACATTGATTAATTGAGTAAATTAGCCTAATAATCCAATTCATAAATGTCGTAAGTTTGGTATGCTAGCACTAAATAATAATGATTGGTGAGTTATATGCTTGATTCTTGACTTTTTATACGAGCGAATGTAGGTGTAGATGTAGGAGGTATACCTCCTTTAGAGGATTTACTTAAATTCTGTCACCAGCGTAATACTTTACAAGGTCTCTGTAGGCCGATAAAAAAAACAGATTTTTGTCGAATTAGTGCTTCATTTATTGATTTGCCTAAAATTATTTCCACTGGAATGTGAAACACATAAACTCAACAACCTATAATCAAGAAAATATCAGATTTTCTTTATTATTTCTTCACAGGATTCTGACAGCAAATTGTGAGAGATCAAGGGAATTTTTTCAATCAGTATGTTTCCCATAGATAATAAACTCAGTATTGTCCGATAATTTAGATAGACATAGACATAGACAAGGGCGGCCTGCTTGAGCATCTGGGCTACCTGTTCCTGCCATCTAGATATTTCAACAAGTTATCTATTGTTGTTTGCTTTAATATATCATTATGTTTATTAGTCGCATAACCTATTCTGCTGCGTTTCTGAAAAGTGTACAACCTTTCGTTGTCAAAGTTACAGAAAACTCAATAAGAGACAATATGGTTGCTGGCAATATACAACGAAAAGAATGTACATTATTCAGTTGTTCATTCACTGAAGTGCTAACATCTAACTGGCGATCCCTCAATATTTATCGCCAGGACCGACCAAGAAGAAAGAAACGGAAACTTGTTGAAATACTTTGCGCTGAGAATTCTATATTGTACCAAAATTATAATATTGAATAAAGCTAATAATAATAATAATAAAAGTTTTAGAATACTTCGTATCTTGTTCATTAATTACTTCTTACCTTTCCGAGGATCAACAAAACGTTCCTATGTGCTATTAATTGGATGATGATGATAATATAGAAGAGATCTAATATGTTTAATCTCAAAATGATTAATTACTTTTCTAGAATCTTTGAAAACTCCGCCTAGAGCCCCTCTGGGGCTACTGCCAGTCCCAAGCCCCGATAAAGGAAGAGGGTTGGACATGCGGTTAGCGATTCCGTTACGTAAGAAATTAACTCGCTAAAAAAACGCTAGAATCTTTGAAAGATTTTTTGAAACTGCTAACCATTTGGAAATAGCATTAAAACAATACGAAGAACACTTATCGAATGGTTCAGCAAAATTCTCATGTAGACATTATTGAATCTCTGTCTGTATTAGTCATCATGATGAATCGGAATTTAATAAGTAACATCGACAACTGTGTTGATTTTTAAAGTTTACCGAATGGTTAAATATATTTTAATCATACTTTATTTCCATTTATTTATCAATGGAATGTAGAACGTGTGTTTTGTCTTGTCTGAGACTTATTAATTTGATGTACCAAAAATTGATTATTGATTTCCACACTGAAATTTGAACCTAGTACCAGTGAGCGGCTAATTTGTTCAAAAATGGATTATCCACTCAAATATTTCAATTAAAGAGAACAAGAACGAAGATTAGTGCAGAATGAATTTATATTATTCTGCACCAATCTTCGTTCTTGCTCTATTTAAGATAGTAAAGGGAACTATATATATATATATATATATATATATATTATAACGGTTGGTTTTCCACGTTTACAAGTATGGGACGTTAATTTACCTTAAACGAATATCTACACTAGATTCCCTTCCCAGTGTTTGTTCTACAGGACTTCAACATAACTCAGATCAAGAACACGTGATTAGCCTGACCACAACGTAAATATATTTCCACACCAAAATCCGACACAATCCAACAACAATGAACAATCAATGATGATAGGAATAGAGGAATATATAACTCATCTGACATTTGTCAGACTACTTACATGTCTGACTAAGCAGACAACCAACCATTATCATTCTCGCCCACACATCAGTACACGTCATTTCAATTAAGACTTATAGAAAAAAACAGTTCGGAGTATCGTCAGCTGAACGATACAAATCCCTACTAATAATATTTATAAAATAATTTTATTGTCTACTCCAATTTGTTTTACATTAGTCATAGTTACAAATAAAAATCAGTGTTATATGAAAAGAAAATACATTTGGGACCTAAACAATTTGTACTTTAGAATTTATTACATAAAAACGTGATCAATTCACAAGTGTAGCACATTAATAATTAAAATAATTTAAACGAGTATTCTTTTTACATTATCTATATAATCTAAACAAATATACAATTAGAAGGGATTTTGTGAAGATTTTAGTAATTTCAATAGTTGAAATTATGAGTTAATTGAAGCCCGATCACCAGGGGAAACCTGGAAGCACTGGATGTCCGTTTGATTGTTAATTGAGGCAAGTAAAGTAGTTTCCATAACATGACATTGTGTCGTGGTATGAAAGAAAGCTGCAAAGGACTGGCTACTGTCAGTCCTTCACGGCTCCCTGGTTGGGGTCCGAGAGATAGTGCAACACAGTGGCTAGAGACGTTATCAGATATGGCTCAGTGGCGATCCTGCTGTAACCTTCTTTTACTTTCTTCATAAAAAGTGGTTGTGTGTTCCTTACCTGAAAGATTTCTTCCGATTGTACCTTTCCGTTCCCTCATTACTACCACACTACCTTACGCCAATCTCTTCGTTATTGTTCTTTTTTTTCTTGCGCTCCTTACCTTTTTTTTCTTCGATTTCTCATTGCTTTGTGTGGCGCATATATTTTAGCGCTCTCTTGTTCCAATATTTATGTGTTCAAATAAATAAATAAATTATGGATGTCCGTTTCGTCCTACTGTGAGATTGCTCAGAAGCGCGCATCCACGATCTCGCCTCGCGAGATTCGAACCCAGGACCTATCAATTTCGAGCGTGAGCGCTTAACCACTAGACCACTGAGCCGGTATTAATGTTTAACTTCAACTAATCCACGAAATTGTGCCACCGTACAACATTGCCTTCAGTGAACTGATATCTCACAATAGACCTGGTTCAACTCCACTGGTAACGGTTTCTCACTCGAAACTCGCGGCGAGAGGCGGATCGTGGATGTGCACTACTGAGGAGCCCCACATTAGGACGAAACGGACGTCCAGTGCTTCCAGGTTTTCCATGGTGGTCTAGCTTCAACTGACTGATGATTTCAACTATTGAAATATACAATTTTTTTTCAAAAAAAGGTTAGAATATAAATATTTTTCTGTTTTGAATTTGTAGTGATTGAAAGGAAAGAAAACGTGTGCATTTCGGAAAGTAGAACTCTATTTTATTTTATACAAAACATGTATTGAATTTGTCCTTGTGAGAGATATTACCAATTTTAGGAAATAGTTATTTGAAATGAAATTCGACTTTTCAATAATCTTATAATTTAATGAGATGAAATAAACTCAACTCATTTCATATGTATCTGACTGATCAGTGAGTAGTGACTATTGTTATGTTTATCGTTGTTTAGTGCTGGTATATTTACAGTTGAAGTTGGTCGGAGTCTAAATAGTTCAGTGGTAGCAACGCCTACTGTGAAGCTGAGTGATGAGGATTCGAATCTCACAGTCCCCTCAAGTTTCCAGGTATAACTTGACGACTAGCGTCAGCTATTACGATGTTTAAGTCAGCGATTCTCTGCTGATTCACCTTTAACCATCTAACATCTCAACATAGAACTCATAGTGTCTAGTAACTCAGGCTAGTGGCCTGATTGATAGAGCCCGCGCATACGTATTATATGTCCTGACCGTCTCAGTCGACAAAAATTCACATCCTCGTCAGCCGATCAACCGTCTTTACCTGGTATACTGTGTTTAACCACAAAGTCGCTAACTCGATGGCCTTAAAATATGCGAGCGATGCTCTAAAGACACCTATGACCGATTCTTAGTGAACTACGAATATCTATTTTAAGAGGTCAGGCTTAGCAGCCACAAAAAACAACTGCTGTATAGTGCACTCATCCTTTAGTTGGTAGACGAATAGCTTACCTACGCCACAAATGATGTAATTTGGTAAAAGACAACGGGACTTTTTGAATTTGTGTTGAAATCTCGTCAGACACCAACCCATCCGGGCTGTTGAGATTTCCAAGACAGGTGAAGTTGTCTACATGTTTAACTACTGCACTTCCAATCATTAGTTCAGGCATTGATGCAAACCAGTACTAAAGTAAAATTTTGCATATCATTTATGGCTGTAATGAACTATGTATTACAATAATCATGAATTCCATAAATTTATACAACTGCAATACTAAACTATACTCGATTCAATTTCAATTCATAACATAAATAGTCATATATGTAATAGCTAGAACTGTAAAACAGGAATACTACACGAATCAACAGACATATATATACAAATGTGGGGAAATCATTCATTGATACACGTATCATTGTTCACTGAAAAGAGTAAATCAACATAAAATATCATCAATCATGTTTACCATATCATATTATTTTCTAACAAATAACTGTACATCAGTGTCAGTTTATGTTTCATTGTAATCAGAAAATCTTATCAACTAGAGATGAATGAATGGATCCGATATATGAGGGAATATCACACTGATAAATATCTGGTTCAATGTTCAAACAGTTCTTAATTAAAAAAACAAATTAATAAAATATAAGAAAGATAACGAAAGGATAATAAAATGAATTCATGTTGGAGGTTTGATCCTGTTTTATTGTTTTACAATAAATAAATAAATAAATAAAAACCCTAATACAAATGATAAAATGTACTTGAAAAGAAGATTCATTAAAATATTTTAATTAAATTGATTTACAGGTGAGAATACAATTTATGGACAACCTTTGAGCGACACTAAAGTGATCTTGAGAAAGTCCATATACTAACTAGGACCAAATGAGTGTTATAAATTATGGTGAGGAACTAGAATTAAGATTTACTGTTGATGATTAAGGGTTAGGAATTAGATTTATGATTTTTATCACGAACTGACATCAGCTAAAGTGCCAAGAACGCTTTTTAATCAAATGGATGAATGAATTTCGTGCCAAAATCTAAGACATTTTATTTTATATCTGATTGGTTTGTCCATAAATTATAGTCTTGCCATGAATGATATGTATTATGGATAGGTTTAATCAGGTTAAAATTATCAATTCATTAACATAGATAAGTAGCAGCAATAATAAAGGAGCATTGAATAGCAGTGTAAACCTTGTTGATTAATATACAAACTTCAGTTAATTTCCATGAAATTTCTATTTCCAATTGATGATACCATTTTAGTTTTTCATTTAAATTGTGTACACCAGTTGATGATGATGACTGTCGACTTAACAGATCTAGTGTAGTTGTACTGTTATCCATTAAATATGTTACATCATCATTAGAATCATACCATACAGTAGTACTTTGTTGACATAAACTTGCAAGAAAATCTCGAGTGATGACTAATGTTAATAGAATACAATGTATCATAATACCAATAAAGATAGCTCCTAACAAAACGATAAATATACGTGGTATATTTGAAAAATCTTGATAACCATTTGGTAACAATGCATGTCCACCAATGAATACAGTTGGATTTGAAGGAAACGGTGTAGTTTTATCCAGATTACCAATTGTATACGCTAAATATAGGCTTAATGTTGCAACAGCCAAATAGATTAGATGTACAATTACAGGATAGAATGTATGACATATATATAATGGGATACTGTTTAAAAATAAATCCATTAATATTAAACAACCAGGTATGCTATGTTTCAATGTTTGTTCAAGGGCTATAATGGAAAAAAACGAAATAACAACAAAACATATAACTAAATCAACAGAAAGGCGGGTTTATTATCCAAGATGGAGGCGGGTAAACATTTTGTTAAGATGGATAATAGTTGCTTAGGAAAAAACGAATAGTAACTTACTGATGGTTAGTAACAACTCATCGGTTAGCATAGCAAAAAACCTATAAGCTAGAAGTGGTGATATGTAGGCTCAGTTCAATACATTTAGACAGAGTTGTGAAGTTTTCACTGCTATTCTAGACGACAACAGCAATATCAACGCCTATTTTGGGTAGAAATTAGTTTATTTCTTGTAAATCTTGTTTGTGACTAGTTGTTTTGGCTGAATTTATTATCTCCATATATGTTTTTGTATTTTTGTTGACTATGTTTATACTTTTGACCTTATACTATAATGGTGATTGGGTAACTTTTTATCCAGAAATTGATTAAATGGATCTATCAGTATAGAGGGATTGTGAATACTGTTGAATGTTATAGCTTACATCAGGAACCGGTTATCAATCGGCTCTTAATCCCGTGGTCTGTATCTAATATCAGTTTTGAAAAAAAATTAACAATTAGTTCACTTAACTTTAACATTGTTCAAAATCGGTCACAATCTTGTACAGTTGCATTTAAGCTCTACCTTTTGTTGTAGTGTCCAAACGTATCTCTCGGAAAAATCCATAGAGGCCCAGAAAACGCTTGGAAACACTTTACTCAACCAGCGTCGAAAAAAAGCACCTCAGAAACATCTAGAAATGAAGTTACATCTCATATTTCTGACTGGATATTCAACTATACCGCTACAGTATTTAGCATGGTTCCAGAAACCCAGAAACAATCTCCACAACCTGATACTGATAAATATTTTTTGTCTATAGCAAATCGAAGTTTTTTTACTCATATGAGACAATGGAAAACAGAACACATAAAGTAAAAAACCAAAATGTAATTTTACGCTCACTCTGAAGTCGTTCACCATTCAAATAATCAATAACTATAATAGTATTCGTATTCATAACAAGCTAATGAAGGTATCATACGAATTAAACATTGTCCACTCAGATGCTAGTTATCTTAACACAGTCAACCAACAAAACCATAGTTTGATGTTCGTCGTCATAGTAACAATATTGAATAGCCTAGGTACCGTTACTAAAATGTGTATTTTTGTGTGTGTATTTGTAAATAAAATTCATTAGATTTCAATAGAGTTCTGTTCAATTTTTGATATATTGGAGAAATTGGCACGATTTAAGAAAACAATTACTGTCAAACTATTCGTTCTAATCTTGACGAATATTCGTATAAACAAATGCTACATACTACTGATAAACTGAAGCAAACTGATCATTAAAACACGGTTATTAATACATAGCTTGTAATAACACACAAGAGACATGTGGCAACCTTGAACAGCGAACTCCTTACTAGTGCTTCACTTTGTTTGACACGATATAAATACGGGGAAAATGTAGAATTTCGAAAAATATTTTAGTGAAAAAAATCAAAAGTAGAAAGCTTTTATCGACTAATCGGATTTAGAATATATGTACAACCGATACGTTGAACTTTGAGAATTATAACACTGAATCAGTGGAGAGTATAAGATTGATACTAAAGTAAGAAATATGTAAAGATTATTCAATCTGTAATTTTACATCACAGATTGATATAATACAGTAGCCAAGTAAATAATTATATTTTCCAAGTAACTCTCAGAAACATAATCTATTTATCGTTTACGTTAAAGGTTAAGTGATACAAGGGAATTAGCAGGATAATGATCAATATGATGTATTGGGAGATGTATTGAGAGATCTGTATTATTCACATGTGTATAAATAGTGATAGTTGGAAACAATATAAGAGCTGATACGAACATTCATACATCAAGGTTGTCACATTACAACAACACAAAGGGTTCCAGTAGAGTCGCATTCTTTGAGTCGGATGGCTTAATAGTAAAGTTGTCATTGACACTCTAGACAATGTTATTTACATAAACTTCAGCATAGCAGTTTTTTCGGTTGACAGAACACTTCTATCTGAAATTTGTGCTGCTGAGCCAGCGCGTTTAAGGTAGATTAATGGGTGCCTGAAATCTAGTGATTAAAACTTGTAGTATTCTTTTATCTAGACTTAAAACTGGCTGATAGAAGGCGCTTGTAACAGCATATCAATAACAGTTAAGATGATCTTGTCAGTGTCCAAAGTTACTCGTGTTAGCCTTATTGGTCAAGTTAAGTAATCAACCAGTAGACGGACTAACTCGAACTCGAAGAAAATAAATCAAAATTTCAACTGGTACTTTGTCTTCCCGAGATATAGATTCAAGAAGTCCAGGTTAACATCTCAATCATAACAAAATTACACAAGATCCATAACAAAGAAGAGCAAATTTTAGATTAATGTCTACCAAAGTAATAGAAAAGAATACACAAAAATGTAGTTTTAATCGAAGGACGGGAAGAGAGGAAATAAATAGTAATGAAATCAAACTTGACAAATTAAGATTTACGCGAAAAGTTTTTTAAGAAAATGAAAAAACCTCCAAAGATACTCCTAGCAAAATAGTACCAATTTGTGCATATGTTCACAAATTTCAAAGGTTATATTACATAACTATCATTTAAAACAAAGTGAAAATCTATACCAGTCTACTATAACTAGTGAAACATTGACACAGTACCAAAGTGAAGTAAATTATCTGTCAAAAACTAAATCAGTAGTTTAAGTGTACAAATGATTTACAAAGTTTAATGCCAACATGAATAGCTTCAAATTCTGTCTCGCCAAAAAAAGACATGAGTTAGGTAGCCAATTAACTAAACCCAACTAACATTGAAAGAAAAAACACTGTAAACAAGGCTACGTGTCAGGTAGTAAACAATATCTATGTGTAAATTCAAGTATATATTTATACATGGTCATGTTTGAACAGGAAATAAGAATCAACTGTCTGGCTAGTTCATCGTGTACTAGATTTAGTTGTGAAAAATATGATTATGTATACTACAAAATAAACTGTATGATACATCCTTTTATTGAGATGGGGATTTGTGGAAATTGTATTAATTTTAATAGTTGAAGGTTAACACCGTTGGATGACAACTCAGTTGTCTAGAGGTTAAGCGTTCGTGCGCAAGGCCAAAGGTCCAGGTTTCGAGTCCCTCTTGCAGATAGGAGTGCGCACTGCTGAGGAGTTCTATACTAGGACGAAGCGGCTGTCCAGTGCTTCCAGGTTTTCAATGGTGGTTTAGCTTGAATCGATTCATGAATTCAACATGCTTTATGATAAATTTGAAGGGAGTTAGCGCTACGACTTTAAAACTTGTTTCATTTATAAGAAAAATATTAATCACTGAATAGTTCTAAACCTCGACACTTTATACACTCATAACTAATGAGTATTTATAATTTACAAGTAACCCGTTTTGATTCAGAAATGCGAATTGTCATCACTCAGCATCAACAAATTGTACCTCCCAAATGTCTGGGTACAGTGAGAATAAATAAAGTCCCATTATGTTCCACGATTGAATTTAATTAGTAATGTGCCTTTTTTTAATCCTGGCCTAACCAGCCATGCAGATCACGAAGCCTAAAATTGAGTAGAAATCGGTTTTGTCAAAAGCCGAATGATAATGTGTATAACTCATGTGCATGTCAGTTAATTAACTGATTCACACTGTGATGCTCAAATGGTGATTTTTCACATGATCTGCTCATACGATTCACGTGGTGAAGTAATTTCCACATAAAAGTGAGAATAAAAGCAAACATCAAAAGCGTGAACTGGTTTGTTGGTTGTGAGTGATCTACATAGAGAAGCCAGGAAATCGATTCGAAGCACGTAGTGCATATGCACTCAAGACCTGTGGAAAAGAATGATGAGAAAATATACTTTAGTTACCAGAGCATGAATTAAAGTTATTCCACTTCCCCGTGGATTAAAACATTACGTCGTAGGTTCGAAGAGTGATCTTCCAATAAGACGACCAGTTTTAATTTCAGAGCTCTAATATAATTATCGCCCTGACACAAACCACAACAACTATAACGAATAATGCAAAGATTATGAGTTGCTCGCATTACAGTACAGCCTATATTTTTCAGGCTGCATTGTAGCAAGCATTCATCTTGGTGATTTCGTCTAGTCATCCTGATGTTGTGTGGCAAATTGAACAAAATGTGCTGGCAACAGTTGAATCTAATCAATTAGATAACTGACTAGATGTTGACATAAAACTGTGAAGCTGTAATCTTGTAGTTTAATCACTCAAACTTTCCCACCCACTAAGTCAGTTGACAGTTTTTACAACATTCACAACCCACAGGAATAAGGGCATTATTTTATCTCGAATTTATCAATGGATTTATCTTTAAATTAAGACTGGTATAAATAACACAATCTGATTACATAGCAGAACTCTTTAGTTACATTCAAATAATATATCTTGATAATCGTAAAATAAAAGTAGACAGATAACCGGAAATGAACAAATAACAGGATAAATTGCCAAAACTAAAGTATACAGATCAACCTGAGAAAGTGAAGTCGTCTTTTTATCTAATCAGAAAATAGGTTGTGAAAATGATTGGTTTTTAATTGAAAAAGTATTTGTAAACAACTTAAAATATGTGCACCATATTTGTATAATATGGATTATTCAAAGGTTTATTATGTTTCATGTCAAAACAACTGTGGCAAACACATTTATTTGTATAACTAAACGGCACCATTTCAGGTGATCCTTCATAAGTTCGAAGATAGTCTTTGACCATACTCACGTGGCCTAAATGATTTTGTATCAACTTACCCGAAGACTAACTAATTAGAATTCCTCTACCATGATGGCACAAAATTGTTTTATGAATCAGCACTTTTTATTATTATTACATCGTTAAAATTAGCAAGCATACATTCGATAGTGTACTTATTTTTTCGAACAGGTAAGGTGATCAGAAACCTTTTTGGGTCGTCTTTGTAC